ATGCAGCGACACGGCTGACAATCCCTCTCCAGACCTTTGTTGCTACAACCACCACACATATATCGCAAGTTGTTACTGCAACATTTGGCCACTACTACAATAGTTGCGCCCGTGGGTGCTGCGAGGGAGCAACATCCAAGATGCTGCGGAGGGTCAGGCCTGCTGGGTTGCTACCAAGGCCGCGACGGCCATGATTACCCGACGAGCAAGGTAGCTGGGTGCTGCGAGGTGCCACCGTGTTGTGCCACTGCTCTCGTCGTGCTGGTCACCTGTGTTGTGGAGGACACTGCCATACTACGAACCTATGTTGGCGAGCCGCCATTGTAGCGTCGACAACATTGTGGAGGACGGCGCCATGTTGTGAACCCATGTTAGAGCTTCTCTAGCTGATTTAGTAAAATCTCATACTGCAAATCCTTTTAGGGTGTCCTGTAAAACGCTTTTACAGTATGGCGTTTATTCTGGCAGAATAAATCCCATAAAAATCATTTTGGATCAGATATGGAGCCCACTTGTCAGCAGTTAAATTTACAACATAGTCCCTAAAATATCATAAAGCCCCCTAAAAACAAAACTTAGATTGCAATTGGGTCCTAGCCGCCGCCATGGCAACGACACCGAGTGGCTCCTAGCCAGCCTCATGCATCGACTCTATATGGATCATGGCCAAACACGGTGGCTAGCTAGCACGCACGAGCGTGCGGCAGGCTAGCTAGCACGCATGCGCGGCAAACGACGGCCAGAACATGTCGGCTAGCTAGAACGCACGTGATGGCGCGTGTTGATGCCATCAATGGCGGCTCTTTCAGGCAAGCGATGTCGTGTTCCCCGGCCACGGCGAGGTGCCATATCTCGGTTGGCCCCATTCGGGGCAGCGCGACCTCCTGTCGGATGGCGGGGGCCTCGTGCGGCTCGTGGCCAGCGGGGGGCGTCGGGCATGAGATGAGGAAGGTCGGGGGCGGCAACGCGCTGGTCGGTGGTGGCGAGGATGGCCGGAATCGGTCTCAGATGGTGGCGGCGGTGGCGAAGATGAAAGGCGCGGAGCTGAAAGTTCTCTCCCGCCAATTGTTTCTCGTTTCGAGTTCCCTGTAAAAATAGGGTACGAGGCTTTTTTTAAGGAGGGAGCTGTATAATTTTTACGGGATGAGGCCATTTTGCGGGATATAGAATGGATGTTTTTTTGCCCAAAACTGTAAAACGATGGTTATTTTACACTTCAGTGCCTTTTACGGGATGTGTTGGAGATGCTCTTATGCAGGCATCATCATTCCACTCGCCGATGTTATGGAGAACGTCGTCATGTCGTGAACCCATGTTGTGGAGGCAGCATGGTGCTTGTTGCGGTTGCAACATTATGTTTATTTCGATGGCAATGCATCTCATGTTGTAACGTGAGTATGTTTAGGTCGCAACATAGGCCATGTTGCAATGACAAATAACGGTTTGACAGGAGCGTAACAAGGCTCGTGTTGCAAAAACCCTCAGGGCACCACGCTCAATGTTGCAAAATGGCCGCGTTGGCACGAGTGGAGATTGGACGACTGTCATCCAACTGCGACCGGGGTGGCCAATATGATCCAGCCTTCACCCCGCTCACGCATAGTGTCCCCCTTCTTTTTTTCTGGAAGAAGTGCACGTACGTACTTACACAGACCAACCTCAGATATTATGCACACACTTATTATCAACATGAGCTATAAACCGAATCCTATTTGGCGCCTTCAGTGCCACTTACCATGTTAATGGTACGTGGTGCCTAAAAATGATCGGAACCGGTGGGCGTTGTAGCGGGAGAAGTTGGTCTTGGTTTTGGGAGGGTTTTTTTTTCTGTTTTTTGTTCGGTTTTGAGTGGTTTTTTCTTCTTTGTTCTTTTTCAAACGCATGCTTTTTTTCTTAAAATTAGCAAAAAAATCTAATTCATGAACTTTTCTTATTTCACGATTTTTTTAAAAAATATGAACTTTTTCCGAACTCGTGAGCTTTTTGTTTTCATTTTTTTCAAATTGATGTTTTTTTTAGAAAAATCATGAACTTTTTTAAAATTGTAAACTTTTCATTTTCACAAACTCTGTTTAAACACACAACTGTTTTTCAGCATTTGTGATTTTTTTGGAAGTCAACGGTCGACTGGAACCGAGGAACGAGTGAACAAAGAACCACGCGAACAGGAAAACCGAGCTAACTGCGCCCGTTGATTGGGCCGGCCCACGAGCGGGCAGCGCGTGGGCACTGTTTGTATGGTGCTGGCGGTGGCCCAATTGCGGCGAAATATAAAAAATGTCCACTGTGGCCCAAAGCCGCCACTGGAATCTATCGCCACGGCGCTCGCCTCAGACTCCAGCGCAGGGCCTTCTCGTCTGACCTGCGCGACTTGAAAGAGACACCTCACCTGAATCATATCCACCACCCCATCCCCTCTTCTCATCGGCTTCTTCGGCTCCGGCGACCGGCGGCGGCCGTCTCAGGTGACCGATCTCTAACCCTCCTCCCGCTGTCCTCACTCAACAGGGATATGTACCTAATCTAATGCTTCTCTTGGGGGAGATGCGACCCACGACCACGATTTAAGTTTGACCATGGATTTCGAAGGAACGATCGATATACCCTCTTCCTTCCCTTGCTCCTGTACGGCTGCACCCATTAGCCTTCGTCTGGATCGAATAGGATCGAAGCAAAGGAGAGAGGATGTATGAGAGGTCCGGAACGGCGACAAGGACTCCGGCCCAGTGCGGACCACCGGCGACCTCAAGGGCGCTCTCTCCTAGTCCGTCAAGGTTCCCTTCCCCCTAGCCCTGATTCTGCAGCCACCAGCCTGGACCCTCCTCGGCTTTCTGCATCCTCGGCGCGATAATTGTATCATGTGTTCATATCGCACAGGATGCTTATGTCAAACAGATAGTGGACAATACTGGGAATTACAGGCTATAATTTCACCGTCTTCTTTTTTATGTTTGGCGACTTGGATGTAGTTCTGTTCACTATTGTTCTATTTAGAGAACATCCATACTGTGGGTGGTAGGTATTCTGAATTGATAAAACGGATTGGTATGTTAGTTCAATACTCTTGTAGAAGGAATTGTTGATTGAGAAGATAGAATTACGAATGACATTCAAAGCATATTTCATGAATGCTATTCATCTTGAGACATGCTCTTCAATTTGGCTAACTGTTGTGTACTCAATATTGAATACCATTGTCTTTTGTTTTCATTCCTGAGATTCATATGTAGGAGTAGTATAAGTTATTCTCTTCCATTGAAAGTTGTGACTCAGTGTACGGTATGAACATTCATACTATGACTAGGATGCCACATATTTTATAGATAGAGGCAATTCTACATGATACCAAATTAAAGTTTAGTGATAAGTACAAATAAGTCCTAGCTCAAGGAACGTAAGGGGAATTTACATTGTTTCTTCCAAATTTAAAATCCAACTTGGCAAACTAACAGTTCCTAAGCTAGCTCCATCTCTAGTTTGGTAGCAGCTCAACAAAGGAGTAGGAGCAGGGCCAAATGCGTCTCTATGTTTATTTTTTCTGCGGAGGCAAATGGACCCTTACATAGCCTATCAAGTTTGTGTTATAGTCAACGGTACAAATCACTATAATAAGGTTTAGTATGTAATAAGAATGTATGTAGAGAGTTTATTGGCTATGTCCACTGTTGATGCAGATTATTGGCTATCATGTTTTTGCTATGTTTTTTTTTGGTTCTTATATTGCATGAACTTGACTCCTTGAGTAAAAAAATTATCCCGGCAATATCCAAACTGCTGCACAGGCATATTCTGACTGAGTTTTACTATTGTATTGTGCCAAGGACTTACAGATACGATTTTATGTTTGCTTGTAGGGGCACGGGAAAGCAAATAAGTGAGTGAAACAAGGTCGTGCGAAAAAACACGAAAGCCCGTGTTAGTTTCAATGGCTTCTTCAAAGCTTCAAGCTTTTTGGAACCATCCTGCTGGCCCCAAAACCAGTTAGTGATATTCATACCCCCCACCCCCCCTAAGTTTGTAGTTGTTATTTCTATTTCGGTTGTCAATTGCCATCTTTATTTTAGATATTGTATGCACGAAGACACTCTGTAATGACTTTCATGGACATCAAGATAGCATGCACATGTTCTTTTTATACAGTAGGATGCTTACTAGCATTGCTTAGATGTGATAGCCGATTGCCAGACTATAGGATTTAGGACGAGAGTGATGCTAGGGATTCTTTGTTCAGTTCAAAACAGTAACAGAAAAGTAGCAACCAACCAGGTAGCCAGCTTTGTCGACCAGAAACCCCTTATGGAACGACCAACCTGAATATTAGGAGAAACCAGTTGTCCTAAGAACGGTTGTCTTTGATCATGTTCTGGTTCTGAATTGGTTGCTATAAAAGGCCAATGTTGGCTTATTCTGCCTGTCGATGAGCGTTTTCATTATTCTTTGTCCTTTTAGCTTTTTCCCTTGTGCAGTTTGATTTTTGTTGGGCTTGCCAGGTTTGTGACATCTCTTGAATGCAGAAGTACTATACGTTACTCCGCTTTTCATTAAATGGGACCGGGATGACGACTTCCTTGTGTATTGAAAAATGACTAGGAGAAAAAAAGTCAGAGAGAATACAAAATAACAGCCAGATTGATGACATCACAGATAAAACCTGAAAATAAAATGAACCTAGAGGCGGCAATTTTTCAGATCCTTCCTGCAGACACCCACTGTGCTTCATGGTGCAATTCTCTGATGACCCATTTGAATCTGATACTAGCCAGTTTCACTTTCTCCTTACCTTCGCTGAAGTAGGCACCTACATTGCCGCGTGGAAGTAAAAAAATATTATGATGCATCAGCGAGTTGGCCAAGAACTTATTCCTCATATTCCGTTGTGTTCTGATTCCATACCTTGATTTGAATATGTCCCTCGCGAAGTGCAATATGGAGTGTGGAACTCCCTGCCATGTGCCATACCAATCCATCTCTCATACATAGTTGATGTCCTTTAGCTAACCATGGAACTGAAATGTTCATCCTCTTGCCAATTGCACATTTTTCATTTGCTCTTGTTTCTAAATTTCCCCCTGGTAAACTTGTACTAAGAAAAGACCTGCAAAGATCTTGCGTTCTTGTGATTACAAGTTAGGGATTAAAGTGATATAGTGGCTTTTGTTTTCTCAAGCCCCAAAGAGATAACATCTTCTCCTTGGAGAGTTAGATGGTCTCCTGCTTGTAAGGTCTTCACATGCTTGAGCTACATTCTTGGCTATTCCATACTGAACTTAGCAATGTACTCCTTGGAGTACTAGTTTGTATTGTGGTAAATGTGTTCTTGGTCAGTATTGTGAATCATGGACCAATTCAAATGCCAAACTTTGTGGTTTTGCACTAAAATGTAATGGAAATCTGTTGGATGGTGCATTTAACAGTGTATCTCATGAAAATTTATATCATGGTGCATTTAGCAAGTTATTGGACCTAAGATACTAACACAATATACCTACATTGCAGTTCATTTTTGGGCTCCAACATTTAAATGGGGTATCAGCATTGCGAATATTGCCGATTTCGCCAAGCCACCTGAAAAGATATCCTATCCTCAGCAAGTTGGTATGTCCATGTAGTCCAGGCAATTCTACACTTGTGTTCCAGACTAATGCCCACTTGTTTACTACGTAATTCTTGTGTACTGCTCACATGCTACTTCTGTTGTATGGTGTTCAGCTGTTGCTTGCACTGGAATCATCTGGTCACGCTACAGCATGGTCATTACACCGGTAAGTCATTGATACTTGTTCAGTACGTACCATCAGGTTTCGCTGTTATGCACTAAGGAGGTGTGGATTATATTTTATCTGAATGTACATTTAATCTGTAACATTTTGTGCTAAAAAGATATTGGTTGTTGCATGGATCTTCTGATATTATACATTTTTTAACTACTCCTTAGACTGGCTATCAATGTTCAGCTTGTTTTTTAATAAATGCCTAATATTCCGGAGCCTTCTCCTTCCATTTTCTGAGTACCCTTGAACCCCAGACCTTAGTAAGGAACAATCAGTTTCCTTGTTATTAACTGTCATATTTATTTACCTTGTGCTGAAAGTGTTCCTGAGCAGCAATGGGTGGCATAGAGACATGATATCTTTATTTTGCATGTTTCCTTTTTCTGTTGGAGCACCCATTGTTCTTATTCTGTGTTCTCCATTTTAACGTTGCACATCTCATCCTTTGTATTGTTATAATGTTCCAGAAAAACTGGAACCTTTTCAGTGTAAACGTTGCAATGGCCGGCACAGGCTTGTATCAGCTTTCTCGTAAAATAAGGTTTGTCACGAAGTTGATTCATGTTTTCCATTTGCTGCTTCATGTCTCAGAAAAGTAAGATGCCACAGTTTGTGTCGATTTTCTTTGCAGGAAAGACTACTTTGAAGATGAGAAAGAGGTTGCCGCATCACTGGAAGGATAGTGACGAACGGATTAATCGACTGAAAGCCCCGCTGCCTAAAATTCAGTGTGCCGCAGGGATGTGTCGTTATATCTGACAGGAATCCATTGTTTCTTTCCATGTCCGAATTGGTTTGTGTCGCTCAGTTGCACCCATGAAGAGAGCAATGTGCAAAATTTACACAAACAAGCAAATATTTGTTTATGCATTGTGCAAAAAAAAAAAAGCAAATACATCAACCGGTCCCTTGTATTTTGCCCTGCCATTCAGTCGTTTGTTACTAGACCATTGTAGTTGGCATCCGCAATGGTTGTGTGCCGCCTTTTGCACGAGTAAGGGCCATTGCCGCGCGGGGCGTGCACGAAACCTCCTTTTTCTTTTTTGAGGGGTGACGGAGATGGTGCTCCGTGTGCACGAAGCCTCCTGAGTCGGAGATGGTCTGCTTGTTTTATGGGCGTGACTATGCCTCCGGTCAAGCAACCGCTGCTATGGGCCGGGCCGGCGTGGACTACAGTCCTTCAGCGCTTTTTTTTCCTCATTTTCTTTTCCTCTTTTTGCATTCGTTATTCTTTCTTTCTTTTTTACCTTTTCTTATATTTCCAAATATTCTAAATATATCTATTAGAAAAATCACTTTCTATTAATCATGCATTTGAAAATTGTTGGATCTGTATAGAAAAAATGTTTTAATGTATATGAGAAATTGTACAATGTGTGAAAAATAGACATCAAAACATGTATATGAAAAAAAAGTGTTAATCATGTATTTGAAAAATGTTAAACGTGTATACAAAAAGCGTTCCTGAAGTATGCAGAAAATGTAAAATGCGTTTGGGAAACGTAGATGCCAAAAAATCTATATGAAAAATATGTTAACCATGTTTTATAAATATTGAATGTGTATATAAAAAATGTTCCTGATGTATAAAAGAATGCACAATGTATATGAAAAAATAGACCTAAAAAATATAAATTTTCATAAATGCTAATCATGTATTTGAAAAATGTTAAATGCGTTTAAAAAATGTTCTTGATATATACAAAAAATGTTCAATGTTTGCTGATATGAATGACCCAGCAATTCTAGAAGCCCTGGCATGTCGGGAGGCTCTCGCTTTAGCTACGGATCAGGGCATTCAAACCCCAATGATTATTTCGGATTGCACAGGTGTGGTGGACGACATTCAAAGAGGTACTGGTGGTTACTATGAGAACATCACAAGGGAGATCCTGTCGAGTTCGAATAGGTTTGCTTCTTGCTTTTTTGTTCATCAAAAAAAGAGAATTTCAAGACTAATTCTACAGCCAAACATGCTCTATCATTAGCAGGGGCGCCATTTATGGCTGCTTGAGTCCTGTGATCCTATAACTATCCATGTAAACTTGCATTTTGAGTAATAAAGTTCGCCTAAAAAAACCATTGTGAACGCTAAAAGTAACTGCAGCAGTGGCACGCTAACACTATAAACTTATTTTTATGAGTTTAAAGAAAACTTTTTTTTGAACTCAAAGACAATTTATGATTTTTTTTAGTTTTCTCCATATATATTTTATGCGGGGTGAAAGGAGATTTTCATTACTCAAGGAGGCTTATCAGTCTTTGATAGGTTTACAACAAATTCCAACCCCGAGCGCAACCACAATGTAGTGCGGGGGTACTACGACCATACGCGGCCAATTCATGACTAACTTTATTCTGAGATCGTCTACAGTGAGTAAAGAAAATATCCCTATCCTCTAACGTAACTATTCTCCAGATCTCGTCAACTAGAACACGGTGCTGTGAGCGGTCCATCACATGTGTTGTAAGCCTTGTGACCGCTTCCACACTATCCAGCTCCGCCACGATGGGTAGGTTGGTTCGATGCAAAGCCAATTCCAAGCCCTCTCTACATGCTGCAAGTTCCACATGCAGGCTGTTATCACATGTGCATGTCTCCCTACACGCACTGAAGTTGATCTCTCATCTGTCATCGCGGAGGACCATGCCCCCTCCTGCAGCGCCTGTAGCTGGGACATAACTGCCATCAGTGTTTAACTTCATCCAGCCCAGGCTAGGTGGCGCCCAACATAGCTCCAGCTTCGGCTCAGTACATAAAGTTGTGGCCGGCTGGGTAACATGCAGGACCATCTTTTCTTTCTCTACGTCTCCATTTGGGTAGTGATGAATACATAGAAGTGAATTAATGTACCCGTTGAGGAAGCGACGGGATGCTTCTGTTGGGGGTGGCTTCTTTCCATGAGTAATCTCATTGCGCACGTACCAAGTTCGCCACATAATCATGAGGGTGACTAGGCGTGTCGTTCCATCTAGTGGTTCCAGGAGGGAAAACAGCCACTCCGGGCCGTTGTTGCAAATTCCCTCGAGCTTTGGGATTGGCCAGTCCGCCTCCATATTCCGCCACAACTCTCTAGCAAGTGGGCATCTGCATAATGCATGGAAGCCGTCCTCTCCTTCCACACCACAAAGAGGGCATACGTCAGTAAGCTCAAGATGGCGAGAAAAATTGTTGGCCCAGGTAGCCAACGAGTTGGTCACTACTCTCAATGCAAACACGCGTACCTTAGGGGGAGTAGGGCACCCCATATGATCTTTCAAATGGCGCGACGACCATCCGGTGCCCTGCTCGTGGCGGTAGCTAGTGGATGTTCGCGCTCGTCCATGGCAAAGAGATAGGCGGATCGAACGGTGAAGATACCATTCTTCTCTAGCGCCCATGCGATAATGTCGTCGGTGATACGGGGCGAGGTGCGGATGCTGGTGATCGCATCAATGCCCGCCAGGAGGAAGTGCCGGCGTAGCAAGTCCATCCGCCAAGCCCCGACGTCATCCAGAAGATCCGCCACTCGTCTCAGCCGGCAGGTGCCTTGCTGTGTAATGGGCTGGCGTGAGGGCTCCCGGGGCACCCAGCGGTCCCGCCAGATGCGGATGCTCTGTCCATTCCCGACACGACAGATGATGCCCTTCTTCAGGAGCTCGAGGCCATGCTGGATCGCCTGCCAAGTAGGCGAAGCATTTCCCGCGAACACCGTGTCCTCAAAGGCGTCCATTTGGATAATACCGAGCCTTTAACACCTGCGCACATAAACTATCAGGCTTAGTTAGCAAGCGCCATGCCTGTCTCGTGAGTAGATCTTGGTTGAACACCCGGAAGTCCTTGAAACCCAATCTGCCCTGAGATTTATGCGCTAGAATTTTTGGCCATGCCAACCAGTGAGTTTTCCTCTTGCCCTCTGAAGATCCCCACCAAAAATTCTGCACCATTCTGTTCAGATCATCACACACCGACATAGGCAGTTTAAACACACCCATAATATAAGTTGGGATAGCCTGTGCAACTGCTTTAATCATAATCTCCTTGCCAGCAAGAGAAAGGGTGTCACCCCAAGCAATGATCTTCTTCATCGGCCGTGATTGCAAATTCTGGAATTTACCTCGCGTTATACCACCATCTGGCGTTGGAAGCCCTAGGTACTTTTCCTCAAACGTGCTGACACCAATGTGAAGGACAGCCTGAATACTATCATGTATGTCCACGACACATGATGGACAAAAAGAGCACTGCACTTATCTGGGTTAATAAACTATCCAGTAGCCCGTTCATAAATATTAAGTACTTCCTCAACCTTTCTAGCTTGTTCCTCCTCCGCTTTAAAGAACAATAAAGTATCATCCGCAAAAAGCAAGTGTGACACACCCGGAGCTCGTCGGCAGATTTTCAGCGGTGTGTAATCACCTTTGTCCTCTCCATCTTTCAGCAAAGCAGAAAGCCCGTCAGCCACCAGCAGAAACAGAAACGGGGACAGGGGATCACCTTGCCGAAGCCCACACGATGGTGTGAACGAATCCAAGAGGGTACCATTAAATTTTACTTGTATCTCACCTAGGTGACGCAAGCCATAATCCAGTCCACCGACCGGTGACCGAATCCCATCTTTTGTATCATTCGCTCCAAGAAGATCCAGTCCACCCTATCATATGCCTTAGACGGATCCAACTTATACACACAGAAACTCTTGTCAGGGTCTTTCTCCTTCTGGATAAAGTGAATGCACTCAAAAGCAATTAAAGCATTATTAGTAATCATCCGTCTAGGAACAAAGGCGCTCTGCTCTGGTGAAATAACTTCATCTAAAATAGGCCTCAACTGGTTTACCAAACATTTCACCACCACCTTATAAATAATGTTGCACAAGCTGATAGGGCGGAACTCCGTTAACCTCTCCGGGTTATCCACCTTTGGGATAAGAACAATGGATGTGTTGTTCACTCCCTCAGGCATGACACCCATGCGAAAAAATTCCTTTACCCCAGCAATAACTTGTTCCCTCATGACCGCCCAATTCCGCTGGAAGAAACAAGCAGGGAATCCATCCGGTCCCGGGGCTTTGAGAGGCCCAATCTGGAACAGTGCATCAACTATCTCCTTGTCCGAAAATTCTGCGCAGAGGCCATCATTCATGCGGTCAGTAACACGGGTATTATTGAGATCAATAACAGGTTCCGGAGTCAGGATAGTATCAGTAGCAAATAAACTCAAAAAATATGCAGTAGCCATAGCCACCATAGAAGCATGGTCCTTGTGGGTCACTCCTGCCTCATTGACAAGAAGTTTTATATGATTTTTCCATGCATGCCATACCGCTTTTCGATGGAAGAACTGGGTATTTCGGTCACCTTGCCGCAGCCAAGCAATACGCGATCTTTGCATCCAAAGCATTTCTTCCCTATACAAGAGCTCATTCATCTGGTCTGTTGCCGCTCTAATTTCCTTCCTGTCTGCATTCATAGACATAAGTTCCTCTAAACGAGAGCGGGATTTATTAATTTCCTTGATTACATTACCAAACTTCTTACGATTCCACTGCTGCAACGTATTCATCATATTACCCAATCCAGTAGCTATATCACCGAGACTAAGCATTGAACCCAACTCAGTCCTTGCATTCATAATTACCACAGGGAGAGTATGATCCCTCTCCCACATAACCTCATATTGGCAACATTTTCTCCCGGCTGC